GAAAATTTATATTGTATCATTAGACACATATCAAATCTGTTATATGCCATTTTTCACATACCATGTTTGTAGTATACCATAATACATGTCAATTGTGTTCTATTCCATCAGACTTCAATCATTTGTAATATTTCTTTAGACATATATAAATTTTATAACATATCATTAGATACATACCAAAAATTGTAATACATTGTATATCATTAAACACATACCAAAAATTGTAATACATTGTATATCATTAAACACATACCAAAAATTGTAATACATTGTATATCATTAAACACATACCAAAAATTGTAATACATTGTATATCATTAGACACATACCAAAATCTGTAATATATCATTAGACACATACCAAAAATTGTAATATATCATTAGACACATATCAAAAATTGTTTTATGCCTTTAGTCACACATCAAATTTTTAATATATCTTGTGTATTATTTCATTACACATAAAATATTACCGTAATTTAAATTTGTAATATGTCATTAGACATATCACCAACTTTTTCAATATGATATCATGAAACAAATCCTAAAATTTGTTATATACATGCATCATTGGACACAGACGAAACTTAGAATATATCATTAGACACATCTCAAATTTGTCAGATGCCATATATCACATACCATATTTGTAATATATATAATGCATACCAATTGTGTTCTATTCCGTTAGACTCAAATCATTTGTAATATTTCTTTAGACATATATCAAATTTATAACATATCATTAGACATATACCAAAATTGTGATATATCATTAGACACATACAATTTTTTTTTTAATATATCATGAGACGCATAACAAACTTGTAATATGTGATATTAAAAATTTTCATAAGATACAACCTCTATGTTATCATAGACATATATACATGACCATTTTTAGGAAAAAACACGGAATCTATTATACGGAGCTTGGGTGATGTTTCAACTCTAGTGCTCTTACACATTCTGCAGATTTTATAATGATTTTGTCGGAGAATTCACTCGTTTTATAAAAGATTCTGCCGTCCATAGTCCACAGGGCATAAATGTGTTTTTCTTTGCGTAGCTTGTTGAGACGGCTTACAAGTCCTGATCGGTGTCCTGTGAGACTCTCCGTAATGAAGATGTTGTTGTCTAGGTTTTTACACTGTTTTTTGTTTTGGAAGATTTTGTGTCGGTCTGTGTAGCGAACAAAGCGCGCAATAACAGTCGTCGTACCATTTTTGACCTTACCCAGAACATGGGACCTGGAAATGTCCTCCCGATTTATGTTTACCTTGATAGCACGAGCAATGTTTATTACTGCCTCATGTGTATCAAAAGCAGAAAGATCCCCGTGGGGTACTGGGACGTTGTGGAATTTAAGCGCAGTGCGCCTGGAGTACTGTTGTTGTTCTTCCAACTCTGAGCGAAGATCATTCATTTCCGTTTTCAGATCCTTTAATTCTGATGCTTGCTTTTCAATTGTTTGTAAGAGGGGTGACACTTTTTCCCTGACGTTTTTAGTGACGATACTGTCGAGTTGGCTATCATTATTAATGGCGGTACTCACAGCACTCTGTATCATAGGTTGGATTGTCTGAGTGAGTGAGTTTTCTATTAAACTAGCCACCATTGTTGCTATGGTAGGAGCAAGCATCTGGGCAAATTCTTGCAGAAATTCAGGTGAAATTTGGGATTCAAGTTTATTGCCAGCCATGTTTGAATTACCGGTTACGTGAGAACCCGGTGTTCCTAAATCAGGGCGTTTGTTCTCGATAATGTCCGGAGACACTGGACTAGACATTTGTTTCCGTTTATCAGTAGCAGCTCCACAAATAGGGGTTGTGAAAACTAGAGCCTGTTCTTTGGTAATATGGAACCCTGTATCAGTTTTAGACGAGCACGCCATACTATATATACTGTTCACGCCATACTATATATACTGTTCACTATACGTATTTTATATAAGTAATGTTTCTATATGTGGCTATATATAGCTAAGATGGCTGTCCTTTGTTCGGTCACTATGAATCACAAAAATCGCCAAACTGACCTGATATCCTAAATATGGTGCAAAAATATACATGTAGGTGTCTGGTAGTGTTAAAAACATAATAATGTATCTTTTGGTGTGTTGTTTGAAACGAAACTTGCTTGTCTTCTCTACTTTAGGGTTCCTCACCTAAGTCTTTATTGTCGTAGTTTGATCACATACCGTCTTATTAGCCAATTATGGTAAAGAAAAAAAATCAACGCCCGAAGTCAAGTGCAAAAACACATAATTTTGATATCCCAGACACAAAGGCATATTTTACTCTTTCTATTATAAGAGGATGCATGACGATATATCAGTCATCCCCAATACGCCAGGAGTTACGATCATTTTCGCTCCCTACACCCGTGGAACATGTCATGGCAAAATTGAAGGCAGAAGTGATCTTATATGACTGGTTCCAGGATAAAACAAACACTGATCAATCACAGCATGATGCGCTCCTTTAGAAGTAGTTACAAAGGAGCGATACCCAGTTTCAAGGTCATTACCATATACCGTTATGCGACTTCAAGATTCACTTGTTGTACAGTAAAGGATCAAACTAGTCTTTTCGTCTTGTCCACAAGGTGTCCCACATGAAACCTTCAATTTTGCCATGATGTGTTCCAGGGGTGCAGAGATCGTAACCCCTGGAGTATCGTGGATGTGAGATATCTGTCTGTATAATTAATATTTGATCTTATTGGTGGCTATATTGCTGTACATGACTATATCTTGTATAAAGAATCAGTGTGTTTAAAAACTTGTATTGTGGATAAATATTTAGTCGTGAAGCAACAATAACGGTTTGCAGTAATAGAATAAAGTTTATAACATGATAATTGGTTTAGAAGAGATCTTTTAATGACGCCATATTAAAACAATCTCGAGCATTGGTGATTAATGTAACGACTTTATGTTGTCTCTTTTCATAGACATTTCTAGTATCCAGAGACGTATATAACACGTCGCTAAAGTACCGCATTTTAAATGCACATTTATCTTTTAACAATAATGAATAGAATCACTTTACTTAAAGATTTTACCAAGTGATATATGAAAATTGATCAAATCATCAATTTCACTATTACCAGATTACATCCAAATATCTTATAATAAATATACGAGAGATCCCTATACTCTTAAATATGTAATTCTTACCTAGTAACTAATTATTTACGGGAAAAGATAAAAATATCGCGTTATGAATACAAGGGAGATAACTCCTACTCACAAAGCGATATTAAACCAGTCGGCGTATTGAAACGTCATCAGATGCCGGGGAGAAAGCGCTAACTTGAATTGTTGGAACTGCTCCGCTTTTCATACTCCCAGTGCCTCTAAATTATCATAAAAGGAGATTTGGAAGAAAAACATCTGGATTACTCATCTAAGTCATGCTCTGTGGCCGCTCTGTAACATAGTGCTAAAAAGGAAAATGTACAGAAAAAGTTGCAAATTTGTTCTATCGTTGCTCAGGAACTCATTTTAATTCTTCATTTTCATTTCTGAATCGTATTTTAAAAATATACAGTTAACGGTTGAAACCTTACCATTGGAAATAGACTAAACTGACTGAAAGTATGTACGCAATGTGTGTTTTATATTATGATATAATCTATTATTATGTGAAGTTATATAATAGTCTATGGCACTTACGTTAGTGTACTATGGAATTAGAATTCTATGGCGCGTTTGGCAGTAACTGAACCAACATGGCGGCGACGCACAGTAGACAAACTATGAAAATTTATATAAAATCGGCACATCATTTACATACATATCACAACACTCGTCAAAATAGAAAAATATACACTGTTTCAATCTGCCCCTGATTCACAGTTAACAAAGATTTCATCTATATAAGTCTTGAAACATCAGCTGATCGCTAAATACTCACAGGCTCGGCATAGGCCTACGATGTATTTCACATTATTACATTTATATTTTTCTGATTACAATGCAATTAGTCTCTTGTCAAACCGTAGATTGACTTTGAGTGGACAAATACTACTTAAACAAGGATGTCTTCAACTCATTTTCCATCCTCGATATTCCAGCAGTTACGATCACTTTCGCATTCTGCACTCCTGGAATAGTTCCTGATAAAATGGAAGACACAGGTGGACGAATTTGATTGGTTAAGACGGAGTTGAAAAAGCAAAAAACTGACAATCACAGACTGATAAGCTTTTAAAAGATCACAAAGGTGCGACACCCAACTTCAAAGCCAGTACAACATAATTTTAAACGACCTCGAGATTCGTTTCATGTACATCACATGCTCAAACTTGACTTCTTATCTGATCCACAAGGTGTCGGACATTAAGTTTGATATGAAATGTTCAAGGGGGAAGTGATAGTGTTTGTAACCTATGGAGTATCGTTTATCACCACTGTATAACATTGGACACGCGTTACAGATATATGTCTTCAGTAAGATTTCAAAGACAATGGATACCGATGGAACAGTTATATCATACATCCTGTAGGTTTTTATTTACTTCCTCCAACCTAACTTATCAGTACAAAGAATGGGAAGTTGACATACACCAATGAATTATCATGTAGGTAAATGTAACTTTAAGCTGAATTACAATGTAATTTTGTAAAACGTAAGCGTACATTATCAGTTTGTTTGAACAACATTATAACCTTGTGACAAGTAATTATTAATACCGTTGTTTATTATTATTTTAACAACAAACATGCCCCGGATAAATCCGTTCTGTATCTTATTTGTGTTTGCCACTCTTTGAATTTAAAAATGAGATTTACATTACATATGGAATGTTTTTCCATCGTCATTTTTTTCGTTTGGAGTGATAACTAAGTTCCAGTGGCTTGTCAAACAACCATGTGAAATGCGACAGTATATTAATGAGGGCCACAACACAAGTATTCAACATAGTTTATTATATAAATGGAACAGATAAGACATGCACAATATATTTTCATAAATTAAAATAAAAACACCAAAGTTTAAAATCAAATATTTAATTTACAAATCACCAATACGATTTACATGTACAGTAACAGCATAGTAAAACACGTGCGTACGTATCAAAAGTATCTACCACCAATCTGAATCGACTTATGAGAGGCGATAAAACGTTATGTTAGATAGAATACTGTTTTTTTTGGTCGACTATTGAACAAGTGTACTACAAATTTGCAAAAATTATTTCTCTTTGTAAAATTTAAAGAATTGTTTTTACAGCCAATTCTTTTTGCCAACACATCATCTTCTAAAAAACAAATCAGTTTCACATTTTTGAATATTAGACCAACGGGACTTTGAAGATATATTCGGGAAAAGTTCTGATTTCGTTGCATGTTGTTTTATGAAAACTATATATTTTACATAAGTATTTATTTATAAGGAAAATCGCCTCTATCCGACATAAAATCAATTCTCCATAATCTAATGTGTAGAATTCTATATTGATAAAGCTAGGTGACTTTTAAATGGCCATGATTGCGTCACAACAGGTTTACAACTGAACCAACACAACGGTGACTAAATGGATTCAGTCACGTGGTAAATGTACTATTTTTAGGTGGTCTAATTTTGAAACAGCCTTGGTGTTTTTTTTTCTGAAAAAGCTTAATTATCCGAACTGACTACAGGAAAGATATTTTGATGTTGACGATACTTGAAAAAGTTACAAGGAATGATTCTTAAGAGCTACAAAAGACCTTCTAGAAATAACAACTTGTCCGGAATATCCCTTTAACAAAAATTCTATCACTTCACTTACAGCTTTAAACCTTCCGTTAGATACTACGTACACTTGCATAGAGTGAGTATCTCTGCATGTACTGATGAAGTTTTATTTAAAATCAGTAGTTACACTATCATCAACAAAGCCTTGCTTTAAATGAGGATGATTAAAAAACGACCACGTCTTTGTCTTCGTGTAATATGCATGTGATGACATATCTAACGGGTATCACAACCTCGTTCAGAAACATTTCAGATTTACTCCATAGAGTCAAACAGGACCTAAAAATTCGGGCGGGAAAATTACTTTGTTCTTATTTTGTTTTCTATTTTTTTTTCTCTTTTTTCGCTTTCTTTTTATTTATTGTTTTTGTTTTTGTTTTGTTTCTTGTTTTGTTTTGGTATTCTGTCGATATGGATTAAACACATTTTGGGCACGTGAAATACTCACTGGGAGTTGGCAATCGAATAGCCCACGAGAAAAAATATTCTAAGATACTGTATCATCGTGTCTATTATACAAGTTTATCTATGTATTTTTATTTACCGGAAGAGCGTCCTTAAAATTATAGTCATTTAGATTTATGAATAAAGCTACAATACACTTTTATAATAAAGAATGACGTGAAAAATGTTGTCACTGAAATATTAGGAGGCCATAATAGACAAATAAATATAAAACAACAGTTTCTGAAAATCTCATTGAGCAAAATACGAAACTACACATAAAAATACATTTAACTGGCCGCGGAATTACGTACAGATACATATATCTACATACATGTATGTACATGAAGGTTACAAAACAATATACAATACATATATGTGTTTAAAAAAAGGACGTAACCGATGTAATTTTATAATGCCTTTTTCCAAAAGCATTTAGGTCTATGTAATACATTTCACCAATACCTAAACGATAAAATATAAAGTTTAAATTCAGATTAAGTTTTGTTAAAGGTTAATAAACAACAAAATAACACATGTAGAATACTTTTGATTCCGAAATTAAAAATGTGAAACAAATTTAATATTTACACATATGCCATTGATTTAAAGTATAATTTAAGCGTATCGATATCCTTAGAATTCCCTCCATTTTCTAGTTCACAAAATTCACCCTGACGCATAAATCTTTTTATAGCTTCCGGAAGAGGGAGTTCGTTCAACTTACCATGAGTGTTTGTATTTAACGCTTTGAAAACAGCAAGTATTGCCGAATGAAACAGTAACAGCGGATTGCTTGCCTGTATCCGAAGGAAGGTGTACATTTCCGAATTGAGCGATAGTGATTTAGGAGTGTTTCCGGTAAAATCAAGTCTCAGGTATGGCAGACGACTAACTCTATATCCGGCAGAAACTAGAATCACTACCACCTCCCAGAATCCCTTTTCAATAGCTAACTCCATCGGATCCAGTTCCAGCTCGTCATATTTGTTGAAGGCGACTCGTCCCTTCATGTCAAGTCGACAGTTCCATTCAAGTAACGCTCGAATACATGCCAAGTCACGTTTCAGCACCGACACCAGCAAGGCAGTTGTGCCACTCCGAACTGAATTAAAAAGGAAGCATAATAAGTACATAACACATACGACATTAAGAGCCGCATGTGTTAAACAGAGAGAGAGAGAGAGAGAGAGAGAGAGAGAGAGAGAGAGAGAGAGAGAGAGAGAGAGAGAGAGAGAGAGAGAGAGAGAGAGAGAGAGAGAGAGAGAGAGAGAGAGAGAGAGAGAGAGAGAGAGACTGACTCCAACCATTCTATTGTTGCTCATCTGTGCACTGGTTTTATAAGGTGGGTTATTTTGCATTTCAGAAATGTGTTCAACCAGGAATGACAACAATTTCAGCTAAGATTACAAAGTTCGAAGACTGTTCACTATCATTTCTTTACAAGAATTTGTAAGTGATTTCTTGTTACCAGTCACGTGAAAGAGGTGGAGTGCGGCCCTTGATAAAATGTTTAGTTAATTGCCTTTTGGAAAGCTGGGACAGTTGACAGTCTTGATCGGTGGACAAAGGTCACCTTGTATTTCGAGAGGTAGGCCTAGTCCAAATGGACCGCTCCAGGTGTATCCTATTTCCATCGTAACAGTGGATCAACCACGTAAATTGATGAACCTTTCTCCCATCTCATTTTTAAAAATCTTACTCCAAAACAACATTTTGGATTTTGTATCAAAAATAACATGCCCAATCAGGTCAGATCCACTACCCGTTCAAACTATCATTATACATAAATGTCATTCTAGAAAATCTTGCACCATGGTAACATAAATGTCATTCTAGAAAATGTTGCACCATGGTAATGCTTGAACTATAAAAACCCCCAAAGAAGTTAATTTACTCACATGTGACATCTGGATCTGCTCCGTAGTCTAGGATAACCCGTACCAACTTCGAAGCCTTGACGAACGCTGCGTTGACCAGAGGGTTGCTGTATTCACACAAATTGTTGTTCAGATTTGTTCCCGCCTGTATTAACTGAATGGCGGCGGTCAAGACGTCATCACTGACGTCAGGCTGTCGCTCTGTGATCCGCGCATGCCTACAGATGAGGTTTGTCAATGGACTCCTTCCTGTCACGTCTAGTAAGTTTGGGTCGGAGCCTGCACATAATAGGATTTCAAACAGTTCGAAATTGCCGTTGATGACTGCATTCTGTAATACAACGATACAGAAATTACATCTACAATATTACTTATTCTTGGTGTGACTCGTCCAATAGATAATGGGTGTGGCAAATACAACATTATGATATTTAACCGTTTATTTCATAGTAAAATATGCTGCAATACACTAGGACTATATCGTGCAATAATCATCATTTATTGTACTGAAGTCATGTATGCGATGTCTGATTTCCTAATCAATTTAATTTTTAATTGGGAAAAGTGAAAGTAACAAAGGATAAAGATGTTTTCTCAGTAATATATCGTATATATCGTCGGGTATTTCACAAAACGTTTGTCGCACATTCTGAGCATGTTCGTGATCAATGCATTATTTCCAGTGAATCAGTATCTTGATTGAGATTCATCATCTTGATTGATGTTCATATTATTGACAAACGTTTTAGAGACGCTGTGATATACGTACGTGCAAAGCGGTTCGCTTACACTTGTAATCCCTCAGAGAAACATCGGCACCTGCATCAATGAGAATGCGTAATAACCTCACTTTATTTTCAATGTTCGAGTCCATACACAGTACCATGAGTGGTGAGATTCCATTGTCTGTAGAAGCGTTCACGTTTGCGCCATTGTTCAGTAGGAGTTCCACTAGTTCAGGTTGCCCTGTTTCAATGGCCATGTGCAAAGCTGACTTTCCTTCAATGTCACGACAATGCACCATTTCTGAGTCACGTGATAATAACATTTTTGTCATCCCCATGTCCTGCCTCACCGTGCTATACATCAGTGACGTCATACCCCATTCATCCGTCACAGCGATCGCAGCTTCATAATCCAGTAAAATTTTAGCACATTCTATGTGTCCCTTGTCGCAACAGATATGAAGGAGAGCCCTCGACTTGTCCTCGAAAGGCTTCAACCCCGGGTCGGCTCCATTGTCAAGAAGTTGGCGTAACGCGTTCCTGTCATCTTTCTCTATTGCCCTGTAAAGTTCAATAGCATAATCGTACTCCTCTTCTTCCTCTTCTTCTTCATCGTCGTTTTCTTCCTCCTCTTCCTCTTCCTGATCGTCCTCCTCGTTGTCGCCACCATATGAGTAATACATCACGAGAGTGTTTGTAGTATCTATGGAGATAGTAAATCAATCAGATAAAGACTGACTTATTTTGCTTACAAGATGATACATGATTATGAAAAAAATGTTTTTTTTAATGCCTACCTGGACTTTTTAGAAACAGGTATGGCGTGTATCCGCCAGATTCGACCTAGTTGTGACCTACAATAAAATGGAAAAAATAGTTTTCTTTTTCGGCGAAATAGGGTAGGTAATTTCAGTGAGATATATGTAATTGCTTGTTAGCAGAAACATATCTTGGAGAGGTATCATGTGTTATTTTCACAGATCGTTAAAGTTCTTATGCAATACGCACTAAAGATTGGGATTTCGCCATCTTAAAATGTAATTTTGGCACAACGCACACATGTTCCAGAGTTTGGGCAGCTAAATCCTATCAAGTGCGATGAGGAAAAAACTTAAATCCTATCCTTTAAAAAATGTATACATGCGTGAGGTGATACCAAAACCAAAATCATACACTATAAACACATATGTTCTAGACATAGACTATTTAGACACGTTGACTCCGAAGGCACGGTCACCTGGCGTCATTAGTCATGTACATTTCATATGCTGCTATCAAATGTACAGTTTTACTCAATATTTTCCTTTTTAGAGACAGAACGGAGGTATTAATAAAAGTGATGGAAACGCGTGTACTGTTAAGTTCTGCTCTCTCTCTATCTATATATATGTAGTGTACGCAATGACAAGGAATCCATCGGTACGTATAATACAAAGGTATCTCTTTGCAACACTGTTAATAAAAAAATACTGTAACAGCATTTTCACTTTCCTGAATTTGTTTGACTTTAAATTTTAACTAAATATTGGCATCAAATTAAAATTTCTTTATTGCTCCAAGTACACAGCTTTTAACGCCAACCAATGCCATGATGTCACAACATATAACCAAGGACACAAAACGTCAACGTCACAATAACTGCGCGTTTGATAACTCGCTGTAGCGCGACAAGTTTTGTGAATGTCTTGAAGCACTAACCAGTTAACTAAATTTCTTGATGCTTAATTTTGAGAATACTTTCAACCGAGAGTATCCTGGTGGCGTGCAGTGCCTGTGAATGTAGGTTCCAAATGTACGATGGTAAAGCATTCCTTAAGTATGAGTCACTTGAGTGATTGTTCTAGTTAACGTACCCACAGGCACTCGAGGCCAGGATATTATTTTTTAAACATTGATTTTTGTTTTAGCACTCATGAAGTTATTTAAACGAAATATCAGCAGAATTCAAGTTTATGTGCCGGTTGACAAATCCGCCACGGTCATTAAAAATACACAAGGCAAGCAACTCCAGATTTTAAAAAATCACGTGATTGGAAACTGGCTCAAAAAAAGTAGTTATGATAAGTTCCTTGTAAAACAATATGTATCCGTAGGTAGTGTGTATATTTACCTTTTATTTGGTGCATAACATTACAGGCAACGAGAAATTCACAATACGTACATGAGATTAACATCTCAATAATCGGAGATTTTATCGTCCATGTAATTATCTTTGACGGAAGTAACATGCCATTTCAAGGGCGGTCACTCCAACTTTTTGGGAGAGGAGTTCCGGATAGCACTATACCAGTGAACAGGTAAGAAAGGTTCCGATGTCATTTCGCGCGTAACTTCAAAATAGATATTTTTATTTCTACAAATACATTTGCGGGGATGGAAAAATAATGGCTGGGCAACTAGAAAGTGTTGCCAACTCGGATACAATATCATGGTAAGGGATTATACAGAATGCATCAACTTTCAATCAAGCTGGCGGTAATGAGAATTTTTTTCAAAAAAAAAAATAGAAAAAAAATCATGCAGATAATGAAAAAAGGGCGCAATTTATGAAAAATATCGTGGGGGAAATATATTAACTTAGAAATTGGAAATTAAATGATTTTTTTTTTCTATTTTTTTTATTTTGAAGTTACGCGCGTAATGACATCGGAACCTTTCTTACCTGTTCACTGGTATAGTGCTATCCGGAACTCCTCTCCCAAAAAGTCGGAGTGACCGCCCTTGAAATGGCATGTTACTTCCGTCAAAGATAATTACATGGTCGATAATAATCTCCGATTATTGAGATGTTAATCTCATGTACGTATTGTGAATTTCTCGTTGCCTGTAATGTTATGCACCAAATAAAAGGTAAATATACACACTACCTACGGATACATATTGTTTTACAAGGAACTTATCATAACTACTTTTTTTGAGCCAGTTTCCAAGCGAGGGGTCGATTTTTTAAAATCTGGAGTTGCTTGCCTTGTGTATTTTTAATGACCGTGGACCTCGGATTTGTCAACCGGCACATAAACTTGAATTCTGCTGATATTTCGTTTAAATAACGTCAGTTATGAGTGCTAAAACAAAAATCAATGTTTAAAAAATAATGTCCTGGCCTCGAGTGCCTGTGAACGTACCAACCTTAACGTAAACACACTTAGATGCAGACACAGAAAATTGATAATAGATTTTTTGTAAAAATCCAAAAAGTTACTTTATACACATCATTAGAAAAGCGGCGAGTTCAATTGAACAGTCATATTATACCAGAAACATTAGATAGTCACGTGATTGACAACAGCAGCAACAAATCATTTCCAAGAGAACACGATCAAAAATAGATTGTACTTTATTTAGATCTTTAATGTAACACTACATCTAGATTTCTAACACGTCTCTTATACAATCACACTTAATAAAGTTTGGTTCGAAAGCAGCATCGTTCATTTGTAATTACTAGACCCTTTACTTAATCACAATGCGACTTTAGCAATCAATACAAACAGTGACGTTGTTAAGTGTAAAGATTTAAATCTTCAAAGAAATATCGATACTAGTTTATGACGTCAGGAGGTATTTCATTGGTTAGTGTATTGTGTTCCAAACAGGCATAATTTAATGAAAAGTGAACATAAATGTATTTAAACTAGACAAGTGTTTTTCCAGATTTCTCCATTAGGTTGTTCATTAGCAATTAATATCATAAGGCGGTATAGACTTAATTCCATTTCGAATCGCCGTAGAACTTTCGAATATTTCAAAGTTATACATACATAAGTCTTCAACTTGAAATCAATTTACTTATGAAATTCCATATGATGTTTTCATGAATGTGACAATGATTAGGGTCAGACTGTGTTAATCATCGACCAAGGCTAGGAGTATACATTTATGAGGCTAGTATAATTTTCACTTTAATATTATTTATATTAAAATATATAGTTATTTAAATGTCACCTTCTATGATATCAGTTCGACTGCAATGCTGTCAATCTTTCTAAGTCGGTCGTAACGTTCTGAAGTGAATAATAAACATACAGTATTATACATGTACAATGCACTTTTGAGATGGTCCCTCCTTAACCAGTTCCGTCTGCGACCATTGATGGAAAATATGAACGACGCACATTCTGTTGCGGCAGTGATTTGCTGTTATCAAGCACCAGCGTATAACAAGATACACATAGTCTACATGTATAGAGCTATGTTAGAGGAGCACACATACGCTATTTAACCATATCAGCATTACCGGACATATGTCGAAACTTACCACAAATGTGTTCACTTCTGCATCACTTACTGGCACCCCGAAATGTAAGAAATTATGTAAACAGAGCAAATAATGAGATACCCACTGAGGAGTTCCGATTGCACGAGAAGTAATGCAAAAGCACGTTCTATTACACGTGTATACAGAACACAAGTACCGAAAAGTACCGAAAGTGTTGTCTACTAACAGTTACATATATATCTTCAAGTTTAAGTTACGTTCAGGATAAAGCCAGATTGTATGTAACTTTCTTTTGGAAACATGACAAAACGTTCCCCCCCCCCCCCCCCCAAAAAAAAAAAAAAAAAACAGTTTGCTACGAATCCAAAACCACTCGATTGTTTAATAATATTAAAAGATTTATTATCAAAAACAATTAAAAGACGAATACATTAATCAAATTGTGCACACAAATGTACCATGTATGTAACGTTAACGGCGGTAATACTGTTTCGGATTACCATGGAACTCTCTTTAACGTTATTCCGACCAGACAGCCAACACTGTGATATAATAATGAACACGCATGAAGCACTACAGTCCTCTACACTACCAGGACTTGTACCGTGTGATGAAGCAGGTTAGGTGCCTGGTAGGACATCAGATTAATAAAGGTAATCCTAGACTATACCACCGTTTGTTTTTGTGAACATTGGTACATACTTTAGAAAAAATCTATGCATAAATTCAAGGATTTCTTTTGACGAAGTACATTCATGTGTGCCTATGAAAAAGTCAATAAAACAAAGTCATAAAATATACTGATATCAAACCACTCCATATACTGCTGACAAAACAACTCCATATACTGCTGACAAAACAACTACATATACTGCTGACAAAACAACTATATATACTGCTGACAAAACAACTACATATACTGCTGACAAAACAACTATATATACTGCTGACAAAACAACTACATATACTGCTGACAAAACAACTACATATACTGCTGACAAAACAACTACATATACTGCTGACAAAACAACTACATATACTGCTGACAAAACAACTACATATACTGCTGACAAAACAACTCCATATACTGCTGACAAAACAACTATATATACTGCTGACAAAACAATTACATACACTGCTGACAAAACAACTATATATACTGCTGACAAAACAACTACATATACTGCTGACAAAACAACTATATATACTGCTGACAAAACAACTACATACACTGCTGACAAAACAACTCCATATACTGCTGACAAAACAACTCCATATACTGCTGACAAAACAACTACATATACTGCTGACAAAACAGCTATATATACTGCTGACAAAACAACTATATATACTGCTGACAAAACAACTATATATACTGCTGACAAAACAATTTCATATTCTCTTGACAACAATACCACATGCTGATTAACAAACTACATATACTGCTGACAAAACAACTACATATACTGCTGACAAAACAACTACATATACTGCTGACACAACAACAATATATACTGCTGACAAAACAACTACATCTACTGCTGACAAAACAATTAAATATACTGCAGACAAAACAATCTTATATACAGCTAACAAAACAACTACATATACTGCTGACAAAACAGCTACATATACTGCTGACAAAACAATTACATATACTGCTGACAAAACAACTACATATACTGCTGACAAAACAGCTACATATACTGCTGACAAAACAACTACATATTCTGTTGACAATAATACTACATGCTGACAAAACAACTACATATTCTGTTGACAATAATACTACATGCTGACAAAACTAGTTGATTAACAAACTAAATATACTGCTGATAAACACTAAGAAGTTGTCCTCTCCCTGCAGCCCTCCGACGACGTACTACTTGTGACATCTGATAAACATGACGACAATGGTTTCCAAGATAGAACCAGTCACATTTACAAGGGGCGCTGTATGTCTGCAAGGGTACCCGCGGGAACACGTGTTCTGCTTTTGTGTACATTATATACAACAAGTTTTGGTCTGTAGCCATCAGACGCCTCGCGATCATTAATTCAACTAATCGCTTGTAGTCCTCAACGAATATTTTTAAATACTCCGGTCTTCCTATAAACATACCGCCTGCTACCCAAACAGCATCTTCGCTAATGATTGTAAAAGCACTGTGCGACTGAAATGCATTCATCTGACTAAATGCGATGTGATCATCTTTGAAGTCTGGCGGAATTTGGAGTTGGAACGGTTTCTTAAATCTGACGCGGAAGTAGCCTATGTCGATCCACGCCAAATACTTTGTCCGAAACATGCGCTCTCGTATCACCCTTTCTATCAACTCGTATTTGGCGTGCATGGCACAAGCGTACTGTTCTATCACTGTGTTTGGGTGGTGCTTTGGATAGCCTGGCTGCGCGAATATTTCTTTAATTTGAATTGAAAAGCTGAATGCCCACAAATCCGCTTGGTTTGTGAAATAAATATTTGTTTTGTGCATAGGAAGATGGCTTCTCGCTCTCCATATTATATTTTCTATTTCATGTGAATCTGTAAAAACAATCAAATCATTTTCAAGTTTAGAGAATTCTTCTACCCATGCCTGATAATGTTGTATTCCACGGCTGTGTGTACCCTTTAGGAACGTCTCGATGTAGAAGTACGCTGTCACGAAAGTGATATTGTTTTCCATTTCGTCAGTGTTGATTCCAGAAAATTTCGGTATAGGAGTCTGTGGGTTATACATCTGAATGTAAAAATAAATTTCTAATAACGACTTGTTATTTACAATTATACATATATGACCTCAATGTGTATACTTCGTACTTTTTGAAATACTGATTAAAAGAAACAGTTCCAAAAATATCCATTGTGTAGATAAAATAAATATAAAAGAGATCTTATTCCATCCAGCTTCACCATTCATTTATCTTTTATTGTAAAACTCTCCAAGTATATAAGTTCACTTGAGAAAGTCACCTTTGTTTCTTTACATAAGACATTCATGATCAATGGAGATTTGTTCAGTCATATTACATCTTTGTTTAAACTAAAAATAAAGTACATGTGTAAGTAAATGGACAGAAAATTTAATTGGAACCTCGATATTATTTCTCTTGATGTAGGAGAAAGTGAATCAGCCAATCAAAATGGATGTTCTGTTAATCCACAAAGCACTAGTGAAGGTTTGAGGTACTGTAAGAATACACATAATATACATGATTTATATATGACCTGATACTATTGAATGATGCCTGTGTAAAATACAAGAGAAAAACTGCTCATGCTTACAAAACGTATATGAACTTATTGCCTTTTATATAAATGTAGATGTAGAATCAAGTTACGTTAAAAAAATAAATACACAGTAGTTTTATATAAAATATAAAAAAGCCAGAATGAGATCATTAATCTGAATATATATCCAAGAATACTTACAAAATGTAGTTTTGATTACCAGAACTCTGTGTTAAGGAGAGTTTAAGTATTACACCGAAGTTATACTTACTGAAGATAGCTTTGATGTCCAGAACTCTGTGTTAAGGAGAGTTTAAGTATTACACCGAAGTCATACTTACTGAAGATAGTTTTGCTGTCTAGAACTCTGTACTAAGGACAGTTTAAGTATTACACCGAAGTCATACTAACTGAAGATAGCTTTGATGTCCAGAACTCTATGTTGAGGACAGTTTAAGTATTACACTGAAGTTATACTTACTGAAGATAGCTTTGATCTCCAGAACTCTGTACTAAGGACAGTTTAAGTATTATATCGAGGTAATTCTTACTTATGGTAGCTTTGATGTCCTGAACTCTATGTTGACGGATAGTTTAAATATTCAAATAAAACTTGAAGAAGTTAACTTTTATCTTCTGAATAGTTAGGGAAAGTTAATTATCATAGTTATGATTATGGTATATTCGAAATAAGGATGCATGTGTGTTATAAGTTAGATCTGGTCGAAGATGTCTGAAGCGTCGTCAGTTTGTAATGAGCTATTCAAATGGCTTATTTTTCTGAAATGTGGAATGAAGATGATGATTTTGAAGTTAAGTGCGATATCAAATTATTTGGTTGTTATATAGTATTTAAAAATATTAATCTTACTCACATTCGATAAAGCAGAGGATGTTTATCCTTCGGAACCCCCTTCCTTTTTTAAATTCCAATTTTGTTCTATTACATCAATTTTGGGTTTGAATTACGAATTTTGAACATTTAGAGTTTTTACCTCAGATCAAAATCCACGTACCAGGAACGATAGAAAAAAAATAAAATAATAATAATAAAAACAAAACAAAACAAAAACAAAACAAACAAAAACAAATGAAAAGAAGTATTGGAAGAATCAATACATATGTACGATAAGACATAAAACATACTGGATTTTTTATTATGTAAAGTAAGACATATATAAGTACCAAATAATCTATATAAACAAATACACTGTACATGATGTATATAGAGGGATTCCGAATAGTTTTAATTACATACATTATGTATGTTAGATAGTGACTGAAAAACGAGGTGCATCGAGTAGTATTTATATGGAAGGTAGAACCAGGCATACAGACCAGTTTCAATTACATACTGGTTACATATATAAAGAGGTACGATGTGGGAAAAGAACTACCGAATGGATGGCATCATTCCACGGAGTTAAGCCAAACAGCATATCTAAAACATTAATGAAACGTGCAAATTAATCAATTGTTTGTATACACCTGACTACTTTAGCTCCAGTTCTGTGCCACTCGCATCATTGTGACTCTTCAATTTTTTCGCCATCAAATAAACAGGCTTAATCGGGTTTTCTTCATTTAAAAAGGAATTTAATAAAATCATGTCATCTTCATACTACAATGTATTTAAAACAATAACACCAAGACCACAGCATCATCTTGTAAGGTCGCCATATAGTGTAAATTAATACTTTATTTCATAGAGGATGAAAACATGTCTGTATCTTTTTTTTTCTCTGTTTTTGGGAATACCTGAATATTTCGTACCTAAACTAAGTCGTGAAATTCCATTTCTTAGCAGCAAACGTATTGTTTGTCGCTGTTACCGGAAATGATTGTTTTAAATCTGTTTATCATTTCATTTTTTTCTGTATAATATTATAAGCGTATCTACTTGAAGGTAATATAAATCCAGATATGTTTATAGACCTCTCATTAAAAATGTATGGATAAAATGGAAATGACACAAAATCAACACCTAAACTAAGACGGTATAACGAAGAACACAAACTAAATTTTTTTCTGTTTTGAAAATTCAGCTGACTATAATGAGTATCAAACGGAAGGGTGTGTAAGCCTACAAATCTCTTACTGAATGTCATAAATTTACTGCAATCCAAATCGATAAAACCTCGATGACTTACGGAAAACAAAAAGAGGCCATCTTGAAAATTTCGACCGAAATTTCCATTTTATCTTATTTTTCTCTGAAACTATAAAGGTAATTAACCTCGTTTTGGGCGTCACCTAAGCGTACAACCACTAACCAGAAGATGGTTTTGATGATGAATTCGACGACGACGACGACGATGGTGTTGACGATGACAACGTATACTTACAATATATCAATAGAATCAATACAATGTAGGCTTTTACAGGCAGCAGCTGGACAATATCGTGGGAGTTACGATTAAACATCGTCCTCCATCTTCTGATCCGGGAGAATAAGTACATCTGTCAATATGTAAGACAATTATTGTGTCAATGTGGAATACATATTACTTTTACCTGTAAAAGACGTACGTTGGATTATTACAGGGAATAAACTAACTTTATTAGAAATTCACTCTAGAGGAAGTGCACATACAGAAAATACATTATGCAATATACATGTATCACTTCATTTCCATAATATCTGTAAAAATGCAATATTAGAGTTTATATTCTTGCATATTGATGTTTAAACCTATTTCACTGTTTATTGCTCAACAAAAATTAGGATAATTAATTCTAAATTTGATCTTCTTCATTTAAAATCAGAATTGATATGTAATCACTATGCGTTGAATTCATGTACATTGTACTGTACATATAGCAATCAAGAGAATAGAATTGTAACCGTTAAAGGGAAGCAGCTGTAGGGATACTGATGGTCAGTTTAATATATTGTAGATTATGAGAACAGAGATGCGGTCAGCGATAGTTACTTAGTGGTTATACCGTCATTTTTTTTCGAAGGGTTCTCCATTTTTTTCTGAATAAAGAAAATAAAACGAATTAATAGATATACAGCGAAAATATTTTCTTAAGAAAGAAAACCATTCTCCATGCATGATTTCCGCAAAATAATATCCTTTTGTCAGAAGTATTTTGTAAGTTTGTAGCATAGGGAACATAACATTTGTTGTAAGGATATAACAGGAGAATTTGAAGTTACAGCAAATCCTTGTATACTTTTCAACAGTAATTTACATGTACTACTGAAATAAGTTATTGGTGGGATAATTTCAATTCCTCTATGAATTTTCCATTTCTAAGAAGTAACTTTGTATATTATTTTACCTTCAGTGTTTTCAGTAATTGCTGCTTGAAAAAATACTTACAACACAAGTTTACGTGAGATCAGATCTGATTAGGCTATGGGATAATGGTCCCATGTTTTAATTCATTCGAATAGTGACTCGGTTCAGAATATATGGACGGATTTACTTGACGTTGTTTTTAAATTATCGGATATATCCAACTTACTAGATTTTTTTAATTACACCCCTCCTCATCTATATTTTGACTTTCGATCACTTGAAATTTCCTCAGTCGACTCCTTGGTTTCAAAATTTAGGCCACTAGCATCAGTGACGAGTCCTAGAAGGATTAAACATCTTTATGATGCAGTTTAATTAATTATTTTACTTTACTGTGTCTAACTCTGATTTTGTATTAAAATGTGATATTCACTTGTGTGTCTTTTGTACAATCTTTGAGATTGCAAGTGGTAGACACTGCTGGTGGACCTTTAATCCCCGAGGTTTGTCGTAACCTGTATTCCACGTTTTCATTCATTAGAATAGCGGCACGATTAAGAATATAAATATGTGCTTGACGTTGTTCTTAAATTGGGATATATATCAAAGCTTATTGAATCATGAGGTTAGTGCACCTCCCTATCTAGATTTTGCCTTCCTTCGTTTACTCTGGATTTTCGTCAGTCGTCTCTTATGCTTCAAAATTTTGGCCCTTAACAATCACGGACGAGTCCTAGAGGGACGAAACAGTTGTATGATGTACATTGTATCATCACTGACGAGTCCCAGAGGGACGGAACAGATGTATGATGTACATTGTAGCATCACTGACGAGTCCCAGAGGGACGGAACAGTTGTATGATGTACATTGTAGCATCACTGACGAGTCCCAGAGGGGCCGAACAGCTGTATGATGTACATTGTAGCATCGCTGACGAGTCCAACAGGGACGGAACAGCTGTATGATGTACATTGTAGCATCACTGACGAGTCCCAGAGGGGCCGAACAGCTGTATGATGTACATTGTAGCATCACTGACGAGTCCCAGAGGGACGGAACAGCTGTATGATGTACATTGTAGCATCACGGACGAGTCCCAGAGGGACGGAACAGTTGTATTATGTACATTGTAGCATCACTGACGAGTCCTAGAGGGACTGAACATATGTATGATGTACATTGTAGCATCACTGACGAGTCCCAGAG